AATTAGCTGAAGAAGCAGTGAGGACAGAACTTCAGATTTACATACAAAAACGGAGGTGGTCATGACAACCAAACAACCAACAACAGCAAGCACCCATCTCTGTCAACGGAATAAATTTGAAGGAGGTCACTTCCTTCATTTATCTGGAAGCATCGTTTCAAATGCAGGTGGAGACATGGATAAGGATGTTAGAACCAGAATCTGACCAACAAGATCGTTATTGTTGCTATAATCAAAATCATCATTATTACTGACATACATATATATGCGTATATATAAAGCTGCATATATTAAAGTCTGAAGGTTTAACTGGCTACAATACTGTTCACTTATATGTACTACTGTAATTTCAACAACGGGAATACTTTTTAATGACATAATGCATCCACTTCAGTTAAGAAAGAACAATATAAACACCAAGAGTCTGAGCAAAAAAGCATACACAGTAACACACGCGTCTAACGTCATTTGTGAAGGTACTTATAAATGAATTTCGCTTTGCTTATATTTTTTATATAACTCAATAAGCACTAACTAATTTCTTGTACTAGTAAAAGTGGAGACAAACTATTTTACTTTCTTTCTTAAGTGGGTGACTATCATTATTAGTTTTCTAGTTCAACATTGAGTAGAGTGATTTCCGAGGAGGACAGTGATGCAAAGGAAATAAAGTTATTCTCACGATAAGATTATGAAATGCTTATAAAAGATGAATGATATTCATTAGATGAAGTCGACTAAGACGTAGGCAGATACAGTAATGCTGACCACGATGAGGCTTTATTATTATTGTCTCTTTAGTTCCCAGAGGAAAATAGGGCTTCAGCCGCACTTATCCACTGCGTTCGGTTCTCCGCCAACGTTTTTATCTGGCTGCAGTTCTCCTAACATGCTTTCATCTCCTCTTCTTATGAGCTCCTTCATATCACTCCCGCATTGACGACCATCTCGATGCTTGACATTCGGGTTCCACTCGAGCAATGGCCTGTCGTGTGATGTCACTCACTTGATGGTTTTCTCAGAGTGTGACCAGTCTGCCTACACTTCTTCCTGCATGTTTCTTGCACAACTGGTTCCCGTTGGGTTAGTTTGTCGTTCCCAGAGATCTCTGTTGCTGATCGTCTCTGTCCGGCCATGTGATCTTGAGTAGTGTTGAGCGAAGACGAGTATTGATGAAAGTCTTTATTCTGTTCGAATTACTTTATTTCTAGTGAATACAGTGACTAATCACTTCAGAGTAATTATGTTCGTGCTGTGTAGTACGTGGTGTTGCTGGATGAATAATAATAGACATGTAACATAAATCCAAAGTTTTCAGGAAGTTGTCGGCTGTCCTGTAGCATCAATTTAAAGTTTAACACACTGGATGGTTTTCTCCTGGAACAGTATTTAGTTTTATTGCAATAAATTTCAGATTATGCGTGCCGACATGTTTAAACAACCAGGATACATCATTTTTTTCTCAGTCGAAATACAGCGTTTTTACTCCGTTTCATACTACTTTAAGCATAACTTTATGTCTATGAATCACAACTTATACTCACGCAGATTTATAAATTGGTATCTACCTATCGCAAAGAATGTTTCTAAAGGAGGTAGAGAGACAACTTCGGGAAGTATTGCAGTGTACTCCCGATGGAACGACTTAACTCGAGATGATATACTGTTGATTATTATATGTTACATGAAGATCCATCACAATGTGCAAAGGAGAGAGGTGAAAATTATTTGTGTATAAACAAAGTTATTACTATCATTCTAGACCACATAGCAAAACTCAAAGACTACAAAACATAAACAGTGATGTTTAATTGGTGGATGCTGATTAACAGTGGAATCCAGGATGCGCATTTCGCCCTATTTGGGACTCGTCAGCTGGATGTACCTGCATTTTTCAGTGAGTGATGATATTAATGAGGATATAAACGAAATAGCATGGAGACAAGTGTGCAAAATAGATAAATTATGTAGTAGGTAGAAACAGAATATAGAGAGTTAATTAAGACAAAAAGATATTACTAAAAAATGCACTTTATAGTATTAGCAACAAAATAGTTGGACTTGGGATTTTTCGCAAAGGGGAGAAGGAGGGAATGAAGAATTTTCTTCTATTTAAATGAATCAAGGTTTTCCATCCGAATCTCTAAGTTCTCGTCAACGCAAAATATGTGGAAGGTTACCGCTTTCGTGAGGCATCTTTTGACTCTAATTGGTGGATGGTGACTAGCAGTGGAATCCGGGACAAAGTGCATTTCGTCCTATTTGGGACTCGTCACTGGATGTACTTGCATTTCTCAGTGAGTGATGATGTTCCCACCGAGGCTCGAACCCAGTCACCATAGTTTCAAACGCCAAAGCGTTATCTACTAGACCACTTGGGCCACGAGATCCACCTCTTGTGCAACGAGTCATATTGATTATTTAATTTTAGATTTTCGCATCTAGTCGCCATCCACAAATAAAATACTAATTAAATTTCCTGACATCGTCAAAGCATCTGCACAGGAAGCCGACATATCAACCTGAGACCGAGCACCTCGGTTCAATCTATCGACGGGAAAATCCAAAATTCAATTAAATAAACAATGATGACTTTCATATTGATTAGGGGTGGCTTGCTGAAAACTGGAGCTGTCAGAAGCTGCCGTCATTTTATTGCATTTAATTTATCCTGTTTACTTTGTTTTCATGGATTAAAGTATGACGTCTAATGGTATGATTTACTGTCGCGAGTATTGTAAATATTTACAATCTGATGATTCGTATGTTTCTACTAAACTCGAGAAGCAGCATAATCATGGGTGGCAGTCTATCCTAATACATGGCATAACTGGTCCTGAGTTATGTTCTTGGGTCAAACAATGTACTCTTGAACTTTTTACAGTTGTCTTCCAACGAAATGTCATGTGTTTCTCCATGGAGACAAAGAAGAAGATATGTCATAAGGATGGATTGGTTTACGCTTCAAGTCAGATGTCATTGTGTCAAGTAATCTACTACCAATTCACATTTTATTTGAAGATCTTGAATGAGGAGAAAATTTCGAGAAATAAACTTTGCCAAAAATTCTGTACATTATATAAAAACAATCATCATTGAACAAAGCTTGGAATGGCAGTCACCTCTCCACCTCACTCAATTTCATCGACTTTGAAAAGGCCTTCGATAGCGCAGCGTCGATCGAGAGGTCATTTGGCAACTACTTCGCTACTACGGCGTCCTATAGACAATTATACATCTCATCCAACAGTTATACGACGATGTTGCATGTCAAGGAATCCACATCGGGAAACTTGCGGAATCCTTCGAAGTGAGGATGGGAGTAAGAAAAGGTTGGCTGTCTACTATCGCCAATGATCTTCCTGATTGCAGTAGATTGGATAATGCGACAGACAGCGGCAGGCAATGAGGAAACAGGCATAAAATGGACTCACACAAAAGACTTGGAGTATCTGGACTTCGCCGAAGCGGTATATATGTCTGATATCCCACAAACTGGAAGATATGCAAGTGAAAAGCAACAAGCTGGCAGAAGAAGCACCTAGAGAAGATAGGACTTCATGTCAGGTGAACATAGAGAAAACAGAGGTGATGGTGAAGATTCCTGGGCAAAACCAACAGCATCAACAACAACAACAGACAACAATCAGCCAGCATAAATGGAAGGAACCTGAAAGAAACAACCTCCTTCACCTACCTACCTAGAAAGCATAGTTTCAACTACAGACGGACGGAACTGATGAGGATATCAAAGCCAGAATCGGAAAGGCAAGACAAGCTTTCATTACTCTTAAGTCTGTGTGGAGGTCAACAGCACTCAACATCAAAAATAACATCCGGATTTCCAACTCCAATGTGAAGTCAGTGCTATTTACTATACGGATCACAGACTTGGCGTGTCATGAAGAGCATCTCACACAAACTACAGACCTTCATCAACAGATAGCTGTCTTCGCTCAATACTACTCAAGATCAGATGGCCGGTCAGAAAAGATCAGCAACAGGAAGAGATCTGTGAAAATGAGCTAACCAACCCGGTAGGAACCGATTGTTCAACAAATAGGCAGGAAGAAATGGAGATGGATAGGCTTGTCATACTCTGAGGAAACAAACCATCAGGTGAGTGGCATCACTAGACAAGCCATTGTTCGAGTGGAACCCACCCTAAAGGGAAGTGGCGAGTTGGTTGTCAGTGGAAGGGTGACTTGAAGGAGGTGATGTGAAGAGGAGATGAAAGCATGTGGGCAGACTTGGAGCGGGGTGAAAAAGTTGGCATGAAACTGAAGGCAATGGAGACGCGCAGCTGAAGCCCTGTGTTCTTCTAGGAATTAAAGGATATAATAATAATAATAATAATCCAGAACACAGCTGCTATTATTATTATTATTTTTATTATTATTAGCAGTGATAGTAATATTATTAAAACACTCAAATATTGTGTATTAATAATTCTAACCGACTTATCATCACAATTTCACAGTACAAATAATTATAAATTGTCTTTTAGCGTGTTCTCCTCTTCCCATTTTATGCATACTGCGAAAAGTTGTCAAAAGTATGAAGTAATCTTCAATACAAATTTTATTTTTTCTTTATCTCTATACTACTGAATATCAACACAGAAGTGATCTGTAGTTTTTGAACATCTTCCCATCGTGTAAAGATAATCCACACAAGCAGAATGCTGTGTAATGAATATTATTCCTGACAATTCTTGAAACAATAGTCAGCATGAAATGTAAGTTTATCTTAACAAGTAAGTAAGTAAGTAAGGTAATCAAATAAAGGCATATCAATGAAAGAGGGAAAAAAAGCGATAAAAATGCGTTGAAAAACACACAACCAATGGCAATAGAAGAAAAGTGGTAATTCGAATTACAATTGTATCTCACTTGTTATAAAACCCCGTATTATGGCATCATCAGAAATTGGATAGTGTGAAGCTGTATGTAGATGGATAGAAGACCTAACTGGTTTGGAAAAATCATTCATCTATGAAATTATTCATAAATATAATTGAAGCATTCATCTGTAAAATATGTCATCTATAAATAAAAATAATAGCCATTAGAAGAAATGTCAATGTTTTTAATGAATGCGCTTTAAATTTATATAATAAGCAATAGATATATATTGGACATTGAACCTTATTTATTATTTACGCTTATTGAATAATGGTGATAAATAGCCTTTGTGACTTAATGATGATTTAAGGGGAAGTCAAGTTGACAAAAGAATAATCGTGTTTTATACACACATAAACTTATCTATTTTCCCCTATGATCTTAAAATATCAGCATTTTGAAGTTATCATATAGTCATAATGCTTTTTATACTTCCACACTCCTTCTGAAAGCTGAACTCTCACTGGTTGATAGCTCATTGAAATTTGTCAGTAAATTTACTGTGTATTATGACCATTTAGAACTTGACTTTTGAGTATTTTGAATGTTGTTTGAGGCACTGAAAACTCTCCTCATAGTCTTTAACCTCCAGCTGTACTGCCAGAGTTGTGGTTGACGTGGTGATTAGTGTGACTAGGGATTGTGATTTCAATAAGTTCGTATTAGAAGCAGTTCAATAAGTCCTACTACTGGTTATATCACAGTGAATCACTTCGACTAACATAGAATGTCATTCGTCCGATTCATATAATGAAAATTTATCGGATTCGTCATAATAATAAAACGAATGTTTGAATAATAATTTCGGCATTATCAATAAACTGTTAATGTGATACTTTAAGAATGAATTAAGGTCTATTCATAGCAAAGATATGTGTCAATGCCTTGAAGTTTCTGCAGCAGGTAGATTTTCTGGGGTTGAGTCACCAGGCACACACCCAGCCTTCCTTCTTTTTCTCTGCTTTGGACTGTCTAGTAAACTGGGGGAACAGAAAAGCCTACATTACTCTCAAGTCAGTGTGAAGATCTAATACATAAAACAGAGGGAACTAGATGCCGATTTTCAGCAAAAATGTGAAGTTAGTCAGCGCTTCTATACAGTTGAAATACTTGGCGCATCATGAAAAGCACTTCCGAAAGACTTCAGAATTTCATCAAGCGTTGCTCACATTCGGTAGCTAATATCAGATGACTTTTCTGGAAGGACTAGCAACAAGGACTTTGAAAATGAACCAACTAAAAACTTATCACTCGAAATGGAGGTGAGTAGGACACACGACAAGGAGATCGTCGAGCGACGCCACACGCCGAGCGGAACCCGAATGTTAAACGACGTGTTGGACGTGCGAAAATGACATGAAGGACTAAACGAAAGCTGGCAGGCAGTCGTGCAGCCAGTTAAATAAAACTGCAGAGAACACAGAGAAACGGCAATGAGTTAGTAAAGCCTAATGCTCCACTTAGGAGTGATTATAATATTCATAACTGAGGGAACAAAAACACCGTTAACATAATAACAGACATCTACGGAAACTGAGTGAAACAAATAATCACTTGGGTCCATTCAAAGACTAAACGGTAGATAGTATTTCATACCATATCATTCATAATGTATAATTATTTTTAAAAATATTAGATTAACTAGTTCCTGAATTTGAGATTCATAAGAGCCCAGTTCAACAACTTGTATGAGTCATTTCTGACTAAATATGCGCATTATTCTTACGACAGAAGTTAACAGGGGAATTTACGAGTCGTGTATTGGCCTATTCGAGATCCCTTAGCTGAAAACACTCAATGCCAGTATTTGTTTCTAAGACTAGGGCCCAGAAGCCTTCGTTTCAGACACTAAAGTCTTTCAGTGTATCTGACAAGCACCTACTGCGAACTTATTTGTTGCCATGGTAAATACTTTATATTTCTGAGATGTAAATTGTAGTTTCACAATGTGCACATATATTAAGAGAGAAAGAGACATCTGAAGTGTTTGAAAACATATCATATAGGGTAGAAGTGTAATATTCTTTCTAGATGATACATTTCTAAATTGCTAAGTGCATTCATACATTCATCATGTGACTTATAAATAACACTAATTAGGGCTAAAAAGGAATTTTCCTCTTAAGTGATGTGGCGTCGTAAAGTGACAGCAGAAATTATAGTCATAATTGGGATAGCCTACGATTGATACAATCAGCGGGTAACTGAGGGTGAGATAAAAGTTTACATCACAGTAGGATTTCAAAACAACAGTCTCCGGATGACTAGGCCAAAATGGGAAGTAATTACCACCAACAAATAAAAAGGCTTCAATCAAGTGAGGGTATAAAGTTAACTTTAAATGAAGTTTTATTTTAATTCATCCACCTATCCAAATGCCTACCTCACAAAAAAAGAAAATTAATGTATTAACTTACTAAACTACTAATAACATAGAGATTTCAGTAGTACGTAAAAGATGTTACTCCACACTGCTGAAAAAAATTACTAAACTGAACTGAACAACCATCTTTGTACGATAGACAGAGTTGGTGATCGTTTGCATGATGTTGTTGGTTGTGGTGTCCAATGACCAATATGACAGGCAATATATTTTGGCCCATCTAAGTAGTATTCTTTAGGACAAGAGAATATCATAACTGTGCCTTGTTGTAAAACAGTTGTAGGACTGCTGAAATCCATTAGTTTTCCATCCACTGACATATTTGCTTTTAATGGTTCTTCTATGTCAATATGCGGACAATGCACTGAAATTAATGTAAACAAGAAATGAGATATACAGAATGCCAGTTATTAAATAGAATCATATTAGATAATGAACTGACATCATACATTTATTCACACTTATGGATCTGAATACGGCATGTAGAACAGTTTGTACAGAATAAGACAGTAAGTTGATTTATTTTGTTGAAGCATGCAATCGATGAAACAGCTTATTGTCAATGTGTCGCGACACATTTGTAGTGTGCAACAATGAAAGTCATGCTTCCTACTTTCTAGGATTATTCAACGATACATATCGAATTTACTACGGAACAGGAAGATGACGGAAAGTCCCATTTCTTTGACACTGCAATCCAATTCCCGGAAGATGATTGGATAGGTCACCAACCAGGACCTATCCTGTAGCTCAGCTGGTTACCGCTCACTGGTGCAATCGAAACTAGACAAATACCCTCCTCATGTTAAATCTAACTGTGTATACAGATTTACATGTATCTGTGGGAGCAGTTAGATTGAAAAAAGAAAGAATGGGATGCCTCTGATTTTCTGAAAATGTACCAAAAAGCGCAGGTATCAAGGGAACAAAAGCTTTCAGTAGTGCCACTGTCAGACATCTTCTTCACACGAGTCATGAGGTGAACATAGTTAGATCTTTCAAAATTATCATTAGACAAAGGTGACCTCAATTCTCCTCAGGTTACCCAAAGCAGTCTCTATCAAACGTTCAAAACCCGATTTTCGTGTTCAGAAAGAAGCAGCTATCAGTTTTCCTTTGCCCTGGCAACTGACTGGATGTCTCTGTTCTCTAGTGAAAATTCCATTCTGCATGACTGTTACTGTTTGGAATAAAGTGATATTTAGTATTATTATTACCATTTTATACGTACACTGATTTCTGTTTTGACTGGGCGTCAACTAATATCATGTCTCTAGTCCTTTTCTTCACTGCAGACTGAATTCTATCAATCAAGTTTGCAATGTGGCCACCATGTTATGTGAGTCGCCATCACGGTACACTCAGGATTGCTGCTATTAGATGGTTGGAGGCAACCAAATCGACCAACAGTGTACACCATTTTACTTCATGCATAAATATGCCAAATAGAGCGAGTATCAGGCGGTTACCAATGCGATTTCAAGAGATATGTTTGTCATCGGTATGTATGATGAGCCGATTGATAAGAAAGTTGGTGTTTGAGACATGTGCAGAAAAGTCAACAGAATCCTCGTGCACAAGTTGAATCTATTTTCCTAATCCTTGTATACTTTTAGGAAGTTATTGTCATTTAAATTAACCCACCGATCTGCCTAATTCACCTTTAGATAATCTTTTAGGTCATCAATTTCAATAAATTGATCAATCATTTATCCCTCTTTTTTGAATCATGCAGTGTATGACCACTTATTTAATTTTTATGAATATTATTATAGTATAATTTGAGTTTGTTTGTAGGGATTTGGTGCTTACTGGTGACTGACTGCCGGGTGAAGTTGTTTGGAGTTTAAGGAAGTAGTCATGACCAGTTGGTTTCACCCGGTTGGGTGTGAGGAGAAATACTCGTCGATAACGTAGGCCGCTGGTCGCTTCAAAATCACTAATTGGTTGAAGTTAGAATTCATGGGCTTAGTGATTCCCGATATCTGAGTGGTCTGACAGCTTATCCTGTAATCGGAGGGTCCTGGGCTTGAATCCCAGTGGGTGCATACCGCGTTTGAGTCGCGGAGTAGTACTGAACAGCTGTCCAGTACTACCGGCCGGTTTGGAATGTTTCTCGAATTTATATCGATGTCTGATTAAATTTGATGCCGTTAAACTGTGGAACTGTTTTCTTCGGTTAATTATTGTCCCTTCCCATTTGACATGTTCGTATTGATCAATTGTTGTTAACAAACTTATCGCGTCTGGATTGTTAAAATTTGTGTATTATATTAAAATCAATACTTATATTAAAATAGACCTACAGACAAGGATCTGTCTGTCTGTCTGGATTCAACATAGAACTTGGCACCGAAGTGCAGCCGTTCGAGTTGCCCCATTCCAAATAGCACACAAAGGTAGACAAGAAGATGATGAGTGAGGAGAATCAGTAGAGTTTGACAAGTATAAGAGTGAAACAGAAAATGGGTAATGGTAGAAAGAAATATGAAAGATTACAGAGACTGAATACATATGCGCTGGCCATTGACAACGATTTTGAGCCATGTCACACCTGTTGTCTCCACAGCGTAGAGTTCGTAGAGTTCCGAGGGCCCCAACCCGGAAGTCTGCATCTCCACCTGAATCTGCACCTGAGTCAGTTTAACTGTCAAGGATTTCATGGATTGATGTCATGTTTTTGTTTGGCCACCACTTACTCTTTTCCAACCTGCACCTATATCAGCTAGTAATGCCCGACGGCGGGGGAGGCGATGGTTGGGCATGCACAGCACGTGACCTAGCCATCTCAATCTATGCAACTTTATAGCCTCGTTGATTGAGTTTTCCTGTTTGCCCAATACTCTTTGCCCCGTCTCCATGGATTCCTACAGACAAGAATCTAATTGAGAAGTAACTACTTCTCTGCGCAGTTTGTTATTTTTGACTCCCCATTAGTGAACTACACAGCAATAAGAGAAAGAAAGGAACTTTAGTACAGGAGATTTTTGGAATCATTTTCTTCAACTTACTTGGTTCAAATTTCAACGGCGCGCCAACCCATTCACCATATAAACAACGTAAAATACCACTTTGTGCATCATTCATCTTTGTGTGTCCAATCGGCTGGATGTCATTGTAGTCATTTCGCATCACATAGCCAGGAAATGCTTCATATCGTGCAATAGAATTATGCTGTAGACTGTAAAATCTTGCTCGTGCACCTGGATATACAGGCGGTTGCCTTCTACATGGAGCTTTCAAGAGAAAAAGTAAACATTATTCATTTTGACATGAAACATAAAATATAAATTGTATTTAAACTATGTAGTTGAGTGGCCAGTTTGTTCAACTAACAACCAAAAAGTCCTGGATTCGACTCTTGATGGTTTGGTAGTTAAGTATTGCCCAGTACCTCAAGGTTTCCAATAATTCTCTAGATGCTTTCAGTTCCTAACGAAATCCACATCCACACCAATGACGTCCCTGGTGATTCTTGAAAACTACACCCTCTATCCTTTAATCAGTTAACAGGGCCTCCTCAAAGAAATGTAGATGGTTATCTCAGAATTCGCAGTGAAAAATTTATTTGATCTAGACAATCTTTTCACCACTTTCAATGCAGTCCAACTTCCAATAAAATTCACCCTAGAACTTAAATCTAACACGTCTTCACAATTCCTGGATGTCCTACTTACTAGAAGACAAAACTGTTCAATGGAACGATCAATACATCGAAAGACAAAATAGATTGAGCAGTTTATTAGCTTCCAGTGATTTATTCCACTTGGCCAAAAGCAAGTCCCAGTACGTATCTTATGCTCAAGGACTCAAAAAAGTCTGTTGACATGGAAAGAAGATGGAGACTGGATTAAAATATCTGCGTGACATCGTACTGAAAAAAGTTATCCACCCAGATTTATCGACTGAAACATGAGAGGAAAGTCCTCATCTTCGGAAACTGAAACTTTTCCTAAGAAAACTTTCTGCACGAACCTAGAATTCATAAGTGGAATTGGGGTGGAAATTCGTAGAAACCGCCCTTCTAAATGTCTTAATAAGATACAGTGGTTAAGACTCTCGCCGACCATGCAAATAGTCTGGGGTTCGATCCCCTTCCAACTCACACCTTATATCTGTGGTCGGCCTGTAAAATTTGGGCTACCGATATCCATGCTGAAAATTCTATACCTGCACCGAAAAATACGGTGTGGAATCAAGCTGTAATCAAAAGTCAAATAAAAATTTCAGATATTCATCTTACGAACTAAATTCTCTAACAGACAATCAATCCAGTCAAACGTTAATTATAAGGTAACCCTTTTGATCGCCTTAATATGTATTTATCAGTTTACTTGTTCCTGTGGAGCGAAATATATCGGCTGTACGTATGTTATGGTGCGTTGGTGGCACAGCAGTTAGGACGCTCGCCGACTGTGCACATGGTTCGGGGTCTGATGCCCGGCCGACGCACTCCTTTACCTCGCTAAGCTAGAAATAATGCTGGTAAAGATGATAGGTTGGGGCGTGAGGCTAGCAACCCTATCCTGTAAAATAAACACTGCTACAGAAACTTCAAGCCACTAGCTTAAAGCCTTATGTACCACTGGGAACGTGAAGGAAAAAAACATATGTTATGACAAATGTTACCATCATGGTACCAACCGCATTGACTTCTACTGACTTGATGTTTCTGTGCTTGTTTTTCTTCTTTTTTCTAACTCCCTATAAAATTTGTAATTTTTAGAACACTTACATGATTCCATATTTCCCTTTATTTTTATGTGCATCCTAGTCACAACTCACTCATTAGACTATCCATCTTATTACGTAACTGTATTACGCTTTATTCAGTTTCGTTTACGTGTTGATAAACATTAATAACTATGATTTCATCATGAGCTGACATTAGTTAGAGAACAATTGGAAAACCTGGGAGTACTGGACAGCTGTTTCCTCCTAGTTTGGGACTCTTCAATGGTACGCACCCACTGGGGATCGAACCCAGGACCTTCTGGTTACAAGGCAAGTTCCTGGGTTTGAGTCCCGGTGGGCGCGTACTGATGAAGAGTCCCAAACTAGGATGAAACAGCTGTCCAGTACTCTCAGGTTTTCCTATAGTTCTCTAACTAATGTCAGCTCATGATGAAATCCTCCATGCAATCAAACAAAGTCCCTACAAACCAACACTTGAATATTAATAACTATGTTTTGTGACAACGCATCACCACTACCCTCCTACTAGTCCTCACCACCATCCCGTTACAATTGGATTAGTCATCACATTTTTGAAATATCTTGACATCTATAACCATAACTATTCTTATCGGAAGAACCTAATCTACACACACACACACAATAAGAATATATAATTATGATTATATAGCTAGACAAGTGAATGGATTCGCAACTGGAAAGAGACTGTTCACTGAACTATGTGTTTTGTTTTTATTAATGCCTGGATGAGGATTATTCATGAATTCTTCATTCATTTGAAAAACTAAATATTAAGAGTGAAATAAGAAAACCCCTTTTATGGACTTAATTTCCATCTCACTTGGCGATCACTAGTGTTTCCCCTTTGCTGATATACAAATCTGTCTCCCATCAAGGGTTGACCTAGGTGGCTTTAGTCTTCAATTGCTAGAGTTCAGAAACATTGTTAATGTTAATGTAGCTTCCATCAAGTAATTTTGTGACATATCAAGTAACGATGATATCGAGTAGACTTTCTGTAGATTGTATAAGAAGTTATTCCGTTGAGTTCCAGGTGGAACATAATGCTTCAACGTGATATCTCCACTTTGTTTTGTCCTATGCAGTCCTATTTGGCCTATCTCACAATTGCCCATAATCTGTCATCTCCTCTTCACACGATCTCCTCCATGTCATCCTCGGACACACATCCAGCTGGTCGTGTCCCATTCAGATTTCACCAGAGCGACAATCTAGCGAGGGATTCCATGTGATGGTCTCCTGTGTGTGTCCTACCTATCCAACTCTATTTTCTTGAATATATTTGCCAAGCCACAAGTTCTTGATTGTTTCATTCCTAGAGATTTTTGTTGTTAATTCTTTCTGGTTAGCCATCTGATCTTCATTATGGAGCCAGTCGTCAATGAAGGTCTCCAGTAGGCTGTTAGAAATGGTTTCCTGTGAATCGTGAGCCAAGTTTCTGACCCATTTAGAAGCACTAACTGACTTTACACTGGTGTTGAAAATGGTCAAACTAAACATTTCTGGCTTTTCATTACTTACCTGGTGCACATTTACTGCGTACACTCCAGACACCATTTTGACATACAGTGAGTGGTTGATTCGGTTTAATTAAGCATAGCCAACTTGACAGGTGACATTCAATTCTGACCCATGTCTAACTTTTCCACCAGGTAGAATAATTCTATCCGACATTTCATTGACCAATCGTCTATGCTCACCATCATCACCAACATCATCATCCTCTTCGTTACCGAATTCTGCAGTAGTTATCTGTATAAACTGTTTATCCCCCTTAGATCTACGATGAATTAGAAAGACATCACCATGTTCAACTGTAAATAGATAACAATGTCGATAACATTGTGGAAATGGTTGAGGATTCCATACAGTGACTGTACCATTCACTCCGCAGATAATCTCATCAGTTTCTGTTGATAGGGTCGTATCGTCTTCACATCTGATTTGTACGGGAAATAAAATGCAAACATTATTTGTTGTTAATTGAGATAAAAGTCAACTTTCAACATATGGGTAGCTTTTAACCTCATTGTCAATATACAAAGCAAACATTCTATGTTAAATACTTCAAGGCACATACAAGACATACTCAACCAAGCTAAGTGTTACAATTTCGATGCGTGCCTTTTAGGACACACAGGAATACGAGATATCATAAGTAGGATTAAAGAATACTGAAGAATTGCAGAATGTTCACATCAGATAACAGGAAACATTAAAAAGAGGATTGTAGTAAGGAGAATTTTCTTTCGCATGAAGTTGTCAACTAGGCTGGATATTCGTGTGTACGTATAGTAAATGAGTTAGGAGGTTTCAGAATTATTTCCGATCAAAGGCTAAATTTGCAAGACTACAAACAGGGAGAAAAACGTAGCAATGACAAAAAACAAACAGGAAGTTTGGATAAGAAACGTAGGAGGATAATAGAAATTGACAGAATTGACTGTTTATGATGCATAGCCATGGTAAAGGCAAAGATTGGACGTAGTTCTTTTAATACATACCGTTAGCTTGGACGTTTGAACCACCAGTGCATTAGCCGAGCCCAGATACCCTGATCTCACTCCTTTTGAGAGGTTTGATCGGATCTTGTATATGTCTTTGGAAAACGTTTCAAATGGAGCTGAATGTCCTGAATTCACCAGGTGTTCTGTTAACAAGCTAAATACACACGTACATTCTCCTTTTGCTACCATGCCTAAGTAATATTCCCGAAACCATTATACAAGTGGACTCATGGCACTGCCAATGTATGCAGTTCTACAAGAGTAAGAGAGCTGGTATATGCATGTCGAATTGGCCCAAAGCAACAGCTTGTCTTTCAACCACTGGTTGAATAGTTTCTTGTAAGGCGATGTAACTCGCAAGCTGGAGGCGAAATATATATTTTTTTTATTACAGCTTGATTCCACACCGTACTTTTGGTACAAGTATGGAATTTTCAGCGTGGATATCGGTAGCCCAAATTTCGCAGGCCGACCATAGATATCAGGTGTGCGTCGGCGTGGGCTCGAACCCCGGACCATATGCATGGTCGGCGAGAGTCCTAGCCCTGTGCCACCGACGCACACAACTGAGAGAATTTGATATCGGTTAAAGGAGGATTTCTGCTTCGCTTTCACTTTTAAATTCGAGACTAAGCAGCAAGATCATTCTGGAACTGTTCAGAAGCTTTCTTTGGTTTTAGGTTCTTGTCTTTGAATAGTGATTACCGGTAATCCTTGATGACTGTTTCATTTAAGTGTAAAGGTCTTCAACGACTCAAAGTTTCAGTTCATAAGGATTTCGACTGATTGGAGTGTAGACTTTGTCAAGAGCTGATGTAAATTAAGCGATCAATAAGACCTTAAGAACTGGGTAGTTGTTTCGTCCTAATTTAGACTCTCTAACAGTGGTTGCCAATGACCGAACCATGGGACTAACTGAGGTTATTCAGGTTACGAGCTGAACACATTTACCAACCAGCCACATTGTTTGGGTTCAAAAGCACATGAATTCTGACTTTTGTTTACTCGCCACATGATGCAGTGTCTATCAGATGCCATAGTTAAGTATCTGTCATTCCCTGGTGGAGCATATTAACCACAATGTCTCTAACGATTGAAATAAGTATAACTCCATTATGGATAAGAGTTTATTTTGATAAATCACACAGTGTTGTACAGTTATAAAACTGATGACCACGTTTCGCGCACAAACTATTGCCACTCATAATCATATCAAGTTATTCACACAACTTTGTTCTTTCATTTATATACATGTGTGGAATCGATTAGATATTGGATTAAAAATCAATGTGAGATAATGTACATTCAGAAATAACCGTACGAGTGTTGTTGATCAATTGCAGTTAGGTGGGAAAAAGGACGAGTGTTTTTTATAGTCATAATAAGCTACTTGTTAGAATGTTGTGTTTGAATGTGTTTGAATTGAATTAGAATTTTAAGATTATTTGTTATCCTTTTCTTATTTGACTGGCGGTAATAATATCTTCCATATTTCTGGTGTTTGCATTAAGTCATTTCTTTTGCATGTGTTGGGTGTAGACTCGATAAATAAGGATTCCGTAATCAACCTCTCTCTCCACCTACCTAGATTACCTTTTAGAATTTTAACCCTCTCCCACCCACTCTATTGTGTGGTTGTTTGTTAATGCATGTATTGCAATTGCTGTATTTTTTTAAATTACTTATCTTTTCAGGGTCAACCATTCTTACCTTAGCTAAATTCTTATGTTCTGACAATCTGACTACCCCTGGCCTACTAGTTTGACCTATGTAGTTGACCTCATTCACAGTCATTGCAGGGTATTTTGTAAATTATATTATTTTGTTTAATTGGATACACTGGGTGTTTTAGCATACAGAGTTTATCTCTGAGCGAGTTTGTAGGTTTGAATGCCACCCTAATTCCTACTTTATTCAGAATCCTATGTAGTGTCTCAGATGTCCCCTCTTTATATGGTATAACTGTGGATGACTTATATTCTCTCTTATTTATGTTATTATTACTAATTTCATAATTATTTTTATTTTGTTTTTGGCCTTTAATGATCTTCCTAATGAATTTTATAGGATAGTTATTCAACACCAACGCTTCTATCTGTTTTAATTCATCATTTATGTCTTTTTTTGTGCTACTTAGTGCCACTGCTCAGTTTGTTAAACACTTAACTAAGCCTACCTTAACAGTTAACCGATGAGACGAATTAAAGTCTAAATATCTATTAGAATGCGTTGGTTTTCTATAAACACTAGTGTGTAGTTTACCTTCTTCTATTCTTTTTATCTTACAGTCTAACATAGGTAATTCTCCTTGTTCATTTTCTGATTCAAATGTGAATTTTATTCCCTCAACTTGTGAGTTTATATGTGTCAAGAAGCTAGAGATGTGTTCTGTTTTTAACATCGTGAAAGTGTCATCCAACTAAGGTATGTTGCAATACGAGGCGAGAGATGTATCAGTGAATCCGGTATCCCGATGATTTCCAGCTTCCCCTTTCTCGCCCCCGCCCCCCAGCAGTCCAAACTGAGCAATCAACATTCATAAGCGTTTATTGATGACCTATCAAGTGAATCATAGTCTTTCGAGGACATTATGAAGTCAATCGTGCGCGAAGATTTTTTTTTAAAATTTAATTCCTTTTTTTTCTCTAATGAGGTCAAAGGTGAACGGAACATGAATTATGCCTTTTTTCTTCTAAATATTCTTTCTACTGCATAATGAATAAAATTATTTTCAAATTTCTCAATAGACTTAGGCAACCGAGGAAACTTTTGCTTCTCCGCCCCCCAAATTTTTCATCCTTAAAATTTACTGTTATTCCTTGTTAAATAAGTTGAAAATGTCGATAAAGTGATTCATTCCTCATCGTATTTGTTATTATTATTATTTTTATGATTTGTCCCTTGGGTTCCATTCAGAGGATAAAGTTTCAGTAGGATATCTCCACTTTACTTTATCCTCTGCAGTCCTTTTCCATACTGGTTTCATCACACTTACGCACAACGTTTCCTTCCCTGTTCATGCAAGGAGGAAATATTCATTTTGGTATCAGTTTTCAGGTTAAAAGTGTTCACTGTTACATTTATATCAGGCAAGTGGTTTTTCAAGTTGACAATTTAAATATTTCTTAAATAAATTTAATTCAACCAAGGATAGGAATAGTTTGATCAAATTTCAACGATTATTTTGAAAGGATGTGACGAGAAATATGGCTTATCTAGTATTAAAATGGCAGAAAAGATGACAGCATGGTATGCACTACTGACTGGCACAAATAGTTAGAAATTTATAAGTTACGAATTTGATTCTGTGTTATCACCAGTTCAGCTAATTAACTAGCTAGAAATGAAATAGTTCCGAGTGATTTGACCATCTCAGTTGAGTCTTTTCAAGTGCAGTGGTGACGAGCACCACAATAGAGGAGTGCAATAGGGGTCCTGTGTTAAAACCACTTTGATTTGGCCGGCGATCGTGTGACTGCTGCCTTCAGTTACTCCCGTTTTTGATATCAAACAGGTCACTTATTTTCATATGAAAAGTTCCAGTTCCAAAATGAAACCATAATGAATTTTCCACTTCTAATGTGTCATTTGCAAGTGACGAATTCAACTGACAAGATATTGTAGATGAAATTATTTATGCTTTTCATCTTAGTTGAGAAGTGAGAAATTGTGAAGTTCTGAGTCTACTAGGCCTCATCGATAGATTGTTAGACTTAGAAAAATCCGCTACAAAGTCAAACAGTAGTGCCATTTAGTATTAGATAATTAATCGGACATGCATTAAACTGACCAAAAGACCCTATCAGATTCGGATTTCGCAGATGACTTGTGTCTCATTTTATACAAAAGAGAAGCGACTTCGGGGGTCATAAAGAAAGTAGAATTGACAGAGACACCCGAACACTAGCAACAGACACCACTTAGCGTCAGTGGCAGAAATTTAAGGGAAACTGTCCCTTTCAGTTAAATGGGCAGCCTCATTCCAGTTACAGGCAGCTCAGATAAGGAAATCAATGTCAGCTAGGATTAGAAGATTAAGACATGCGTTCATTAGTTTGAAATCAGTCTGGCGATTCCCAGTACTTCTCACACTGAACGACATCAAAATTTTCATGCCTAATAACAAGTCGAATCTCTTACATGGTTCACTGAAATTATTTCCAACAGACTACTAAATTCCATCCACAGAAACCTTCTCTTGATATTAAAGATCAGATAGCCGATCAGGGAAGGTAAACGCCTAGGAACTCTGCGGTGGACCAGCCAACACCCTATCACTGGAAAAATGTTCAGGAGGAAATGATGCTGGATTGAGCATACTCTGAAGAGGTCTTACAGTGAAATTTTATGCAAAGTCCTTAAGTAGAACCTTAATGAGAAGTTACGGGATAGACAAAGTTTGTATTCAGTCGTAGAGTTATCTGAGAATGGCAGCTGAGGACACAGAATGACAGGGATATGCCGTGTGTTCCAGTCGAAACTCAAGGGAAAAATAAAAATAATCATGGGAGTTACATTTGCTTGACTAATTAGATGTTACACTTAGCTTAACCGGATTTTGTAAAAGAGCAGATTAAAATTTATTATTTCCTTTAGTTCCTGTAGGAAAATAAGGCTTCAGCTGCCAGCGTTTTCACCTGCCTCTACGTCTCCCCACATGCTTTCATCTATTCTTTGCATGACCTTCTCCATGTCACCCTCGCACTTTCGACCGACTCGACGCTTGCCATTTGGGTGCCATTCGAGAGAGAGAGAGTCTGGCGTGTAATATCAATCACTTGATGGATCTCTCAGAGTATGGTTGGTCAACCTCCGTTGTTTTCACTGACATTTCGCTACTTAACGCTGCTAACAACTCTTTGAAAGTATAAAAATTACCCGTATTTTACAAAATCTTGTTTCAATTTTCTAAATACACTGTGACGATTCAGTTTGAATTGGTGCTCAAATGAATCCAGTAAATTCGTTAGATAAATGACCTCAATACTTATAACATTCTATTTCACTCTCTATCTCTGTGTTCTTATTGAGAATTAATATCTCTATTGATTAAACAGAACTCACATAATCTTTCCTTTACTGCCATATGTTGTTGCTATGTAAGATACTTCACCATTTTGTATTTGAGGTGGTGGACCACAGTCTCGTTCTTTAATAAGAAAAGAAGTAAAATTAAAATTATTAAGTATCTAAATGCATTTAAACAATGAATCTTGCTAACAAATATACTGTAACTCAACACTGAAAATTTTCCGAACTTCTCCATCACAGAAGATTTAGCATTCTTGAAGTTGTCGAAACTGTCTGAGTTAGTCCTGGATTGTAAGACTGTCTTCGCATGTGTACTGTGTGGTGATTGAAGGCAGAACAAAAATTGAAACCACAGGAGCATTTGGACCAGAGGCCTCTGAACTACCAATCCGACAATCAACAGCCAGTCGAGACCTGACTGCTAACTATGTATTGTAATAATTTCCCCAAAGAAGTTATTTGGAAGCATGTTATCGCTCTAGGCTAATGTGTTGCTCCATCTTTAACAGCTGTGTTTATGAAACTAAGGTAAATCAATCACCCTAACAGATTCATATTTCTATACAAGAAAACGACTTCTTACAACTTCTGTCACTTTAGCGTACGTATTTCAAAGTTTATGAAGCGCTTCGCATGACTTGTAAATTAAATGCTTATGAAGACATACTCAGAATTAGAGAACCATTGTGGTGTGAGCTGTCTGCTAGCCAAAATTGGTAAACGGCAATTTACGTCAATGCTTACTTCTCAAATCTTGGTCATGAGAAAAACAAGAATAAAGACTTTGCGTGGACGGATACGATTAGCAGATATATGGTCTGACCTTCGAAGAAACGGCCACAAAGAGATGACAGATTGACTTTCTGCGAGAAAACAACCAATCGGAAGACGCTGTTTTTCTGCTAATAATAACGAATAATAATGTACATAAAAATCTATAAATATCTCTTGATTTCCTCAATAAACGATCTGTTGCCTAGCCTTTGTCTTCTGTCGTTACGCCACTTTATTCACTATCCTGCATAGATTGTTAGTGAAACATCACAGTCATACTCATAAACTGTCATAATCGACTCAAATTAATAATCAGTTGATTCTTGAAGGAAAAAGTGGAGAAGTGTCGTCTTAGCATTAGTTCAGAGAATAATACTATCATATACTGTTAATTTGACAGGATACACAGCGAAATATTAATATTTACACTAGAAAATGTTCTTCTGTAGAACTTTTTGTTCACACTTATACTGATTTCATTTGATTGTCATAGGATGTATCAGTTGTCGTCTTGTTTTATTCTCTTGTTGGGATATGCCTACTGATTCCCGTAGACTGTTGTAGTATGTTATCTTATACACATACGTGTGTATTTATTTATTTTTTGATTTTTGATTACAGCTTGATTCCACACCGTATTTTTGGTACAAGTATGAAATTTTCAGCATGAATATCGGTAGCCCAAATTTTACAGGCCGACCATAGATATCAGGTGTGTCTCGGCAGGGGGTCGAACCTCGCACCATGTGCATGATCGGCGAGAGTCCTAACCACTGTGCCACCAGTGTACAGTGTAAGATAAGTTTATTGGATAAAACACGCAGTGAGCAGTATAGTTTTAATCACTGGATGACATTTTGGACACAATTTATTGCCAACAATCACTCCTGTATATTCACACGACTTTCTGACTTACTTCTTACAGTCTTAATCCATAATGCTTCTTTATTGGAATTCACCATATATCGTGGATAGATGTTGCATTATTTCAACTGCTGGCGTTTGGTGTTGATTTGACGAACACGGATTCGGTGATTAGTCTCTCTCTCCTTCTCTATCTGTTCACCTAACTGTATCACTTTTTAATATTTTACCCTTACCCATCCTATTGTATGACTGCATGTAAATGAATGCATTGCAATGGCTGAGTTTTTTCTAGATTACTTAATGGGGTCACAGTCATTGGATGGTATTTGGTAAATTCAATTATTCTCCATAACTGGATCTGTTGGGTTCATAAACCAACAAAGTTTGCCTCTGAGATAAATCGGTTGATTTAAATATCACCTTAATTCCAGCCTTTAAAGGAACTCTAATTAAGACCTCTGATGTTGTTTCTTTACATTAAAGTACTGTCGATGTTTTGAATCCTTTATTTTTCATATTATTGTCACTATTCATATTACTAATCATGAACTGCATATGAGTCTTCGTGGATTTTGGAATCAACTCTAAACGGTGGTCCTTCAGCTGAAATATATCTCGATTATTTGTTTGATTTCACTATTAACAATTTCTGACTCATTCATCAAACTCTTCGGTAGATTATGCAAACATTTACTCATTGTATCCTTAATGATTATTTCCTTTAGGTAGACACCAGCTTGTGTCATGTGTCTAATCCTCTATTTGGTGCAGACTATAACCTCTCAGTCATGTTTGCAATATGGACACTATACTTAGTAGCTTACCATCACAGTGCACTCAGAATTGCTGTTATGAGAAGGTTGAAGGCAATGCTGCTTATTGTCATTCGCCAGTAGTCAGAAAGCCACACATGCAACCTTGGAGGACTCATGTCCCTTCTGAGGTTCGAACCGGTATCACTCAGTGCTGGAGCCATAGATGTTACTAATCAGCTATTATATTCTTTACAGTATTAGCTGTAACCAGAGATTGTTCCACCGAGGGAGAGGGCTCTCGAGTGGCTGCACCACAGGATGATCATGCATGCCGGTATTGTCTCGAAAGAGGCAGGGCTGGGTGTGCTTGGTTCTCCTGAAAACCAGTACCCAGTTAATGGGTGTATTACTGTGTGAAAATGTGGCGTGGTGACATACGCCTGTGATCTACGAGCCCTAATAGCTCAGTGGTAACGTCTGTGACTGCAGGCGGCACTGCGTGACGCGGGTTCGAATCTCAGAAGGGATACATGAGCTCTGTCATGGTTGCATATACGCTTTGCTGACTGATTGACCGGTGAGTGTCAACTAGTATCAAACGTAGGTCATGCAAGGCTTCTTGCTAATTGCATCGGTGGCATAGAGGTTAGGACATTCGCCGACCATGCACATGGTCCGGGGTTCGATCCCCGACCGACGCATTCCTTTACCTCGCTAAGCTAGAAATAATGCTGGTAAAGAGGAAAGGTTGGGCATGAGGCCAGCAACCTCATCCTGTAAAAATAAACACTGCTACAGAAAATTCAAGCCTCTAGCTTGAAGGTGCCCTATGTTCCACTGGGAATGTGAAGGAAAAAAAGAGATTATACAACATAGTGAATGCAGACATTTGTCTAAGGATACTTAATTGACTGTAAAAGTCATTAAGAGATGAAAGAGTCATCTGATTTTTTATAGAGTCAAGTCGTCATCATCATCATCACCATCTGACTTACTTTTACAATATGGTTCCTGTCCACTCCACTTCCCATTAGGCTGACAAACACGATGATGTGAACCGTGCAATTCATAGCCGTCATCACATTCAGAAATATCCGTTCCATTGACAGTCAATGAGCTAACTGCATGTTTCCCGTTTAAAATTGACTGAGGTTCTGGACATGTGATAACTATGTGAAGGGGAAAATTAGAAAATCAGTACGCCATTAGTAAAAGGAATAATAATAACAACAACAGTGATCTCAGTCGCTCGACTATTCATGTTGCTCACCCGACGATTCGAGCTATATACGGAGTGTTAGAATGCTTAGTAGTCTTCTGAAATTAGTATTTAATTGGTGGATAGTGACTAGCAGTGGAATGCGCATTTCGTCCTATTTGGCGTTTGAAACTATGGGTACTGGGTTCGAGCCTCGGTGGGAACATTATCAGTCACTGAGAAATGCAGGTACGTCCAGATGACGAGTCCCAAGTAGGACGAAATGCACATCCTGGATTCCGCTGCTAGTCATCATCCACCAAATAAATACTAATTAAAAATGCCCAGACATCGTCGAAGCATCTGCACAAGAAGCCAACATGTCAACCTGAGACTGAGCACTTCGGTCCAATCATCGATGGGAAAATCTCAAGTTCAATTAGGTCTTCTGAAATCTCATCTTTAAACGACCTTCATTTTGAATGTATGAAATAGTAAAAAAAGGCTGTAATTTTGAACAACCAGAATGAGCTACAATAAATAATTAGATTTTATGCCTTTAGAGTGGATGGCTGATATCGGGTGAAGGTCAAAAGAGTCTTTCAACAACTCGTGTTAAACGAAGAAGGAAGGTTAATGATGCTGAGATCAGACTTAGCAATCTGAAAGTTAAACGAACTGATAATCTGGTTGATAATGTGTGAATTATGCTGTTCAACCTAAGGTGTCACTTTCTTTTTCATGACAAACGTTAAATGAAAAATCTTCAGCTGCCTGTTTAAAACGGGCTATCGAAAGAAACCTCCGTCACTATACTGCATGTAATTTATCTCATTCAGTTTGCTTTAATTTATTAAAATATAACTTCTAATGGTGTTTTTTACCCTAGCCAATTTTTAAAATGTCTGCAACCTGCCGATTGAACAGGTTGAAAAAAGCAGAATCGTGAGTGGAAACGTATCCGATACAAGAGACAACTGTTCATAACGTATTTAGCACAAACTGCCACTACCTGGGTAGCACAAGTAACCACTTGCGATCTGCAGCTATTCATTAATGTGCTTGAGTTTCAAATTGTACTCCTTCCTCTTTTTTAAGTGGTGTTCAACCTAACATCTTGCATTTCTCGGAGATAAAGAAGAAGAAATATCATTAGGGGTTGGTTTGTGTTCCAGATCAGACAGCATTGGTTCATGTGATTTACTGTCGATTACTATTTTACTTGAAGATCCTGGACAAAGAAACTATTATGCCATGATTTCGACTGAGTATTCAGTACATTATGCAGTCGTTGTTCAGAACAAAGCCATTTTATGAATAAGACAGAGAGACATTAATCCCGAATAGTTGAATATTAATTTGATCCACATAGGGAGATGCAGACTGAATGACGTTAGTCATCATGCTGGTACAGGTTATGGATTAAAGAAATTCAAATATATATGATTATCAACCTGGGTCATATGTATTTGGCAGTCAACAAAGTCTTTATTTTCAACACATTCCCTTCCACTTCATTCAGCATTTGTATACATTTTCAAAGTGTAGTGACTTAAGATAATGGACAATTGTACAGAGTGGAAACTTGATTCACCATTCAGGTAATCGAATTTATAGGGATTTAATTAATTTAAAGATAAATTTCATTATGAGCTAGAATCATGTAAGCAACCACAGACTTTCGGTGAATAACTTTAATTTCTTTGTTTGTGTAAACTCCTAAACTTCTAATTGATCGAGTATAAGAACCTCAGATGATACTTTCAGTTCGTTATGTTTCCTACGCCATAGGCAGTGAGTCCGATGCATCACACCAGTTTTGTTGTTGAATTTTGTCAGTTTTTTCACGGGTTTTTCAATGTCGTAAATGTATGATACTGCCTGCTGTGAAAATGAATGTCTAGATTACCTAAGGTAACATTATTAACCAAACACCTTTACTCAGCCCTCATTATGGTTCAAGTGTCGAGGTATGGCTCGGGAAAAATTTCTTAGATGTAATTATTATGCAACAATTTATTGAAAAACTTCTGTCTTTAATTAAGTTTAGACTTTTTCCTGTCGACTGATTAGATCGAAGTCTTCAGACTCGGTTGACATGTCGGCTTCTAGTGCAGATCGTTTGACTTTGTGTGGTTGGTAACTAGCAGTGGAATCCAGGGTGGGCATTTCGTCCTGCACAAGAGGTGGCTCTCGTGTCTCAAGTGGTCTAGTGGATAAATGTTTTGGATTTGAAACTACAAGCACTAGGTTCAAGCCTCGGGGGGAATACCATCGCTCATTGGGGAATGTAGCTAAATCCAGCTGACGGAGGAGTCCAAAATAAGACGGATTCCTCCTTGTCCTGGTTTTCACTGCTACTAAACATCCACCAACGTAATATCTGTTTTTCTCTAAACACTTTCCTTAGTGAAAATTACTAATCAATAAAAGACAGTACTGGACAGTTAATATAAAACAAACCTTTACAGTAGACATCTTCAGCTGACCATGAACCATTTTCTAGGCAAACACGTTTACATCCTAAAAATAAACAATAATAAATATAGTAGTATTTTATAATGCTGTATACTATGATCAGTTGACATAAGTAGTTGGAAACATCTCACGTCAAACAATAATAACTGTTAACCAGAATGAAGTGATGTGCCTTCGGCCAGCCACATCATTAGTAGCGTAGCATGAAGGGTTTGTTCGGTGAGTGGAATCAGTTGAAAACTGTAAAATTCCAGCTGACTACTTGGGAACACTTGTAGTACATAGAATGATAAATGAAAAACTCGATTCAGTAATACTCTGCCCCTCTTTTAATCAACGATGTTAAAAAATAAAGGAAAGACGTTGACATGATCTTCAGATTGCTGTGTAATATCGTCTAAGAAATATAAATAATGATAATAATTAAATGAAATCAGGCTGGGGTTATACCTAGGCTCCTGGATACAAGCATTTCCAAGTTTAGAAAATAAATAAATAATTCTCATGTGTATGTCATCTTTTAATGTTAGCATGATAAAACAGCACTGTGAAACACATTGTAATTTTTGTAACGAGGGGTTGATTCACGAAGGTATATCAGCGAAACAAAACACATCGTGGACCTAAGAACTCTGGTTATCCGAATCTTTTGCACATAAGATTCACTAGTAGTTCTCCTCCTACAAACTTGAGATTGCATCGAATCGATCAGCTAATTAGTTAAGTTAAATTTCGATTTCCGAGCACATTTCTTCTGCTTCAGACTATGAGCCACACTTGTGGTGTGCCGGATAGTGATCATATCCAGTTTTCTTTGGCTGAGGAAGGTCAATTGGGATCCAAACTCTTGACTTTTCATTTGAAGGTTTGTACCGTATCTCCTGTACCTTAAATTTATGAGTCAGACATATCACCTTCTGTTGATATAACGTCTGCATATAATTTTGATCTATGTACCACATAGTTGGTATGTTTTAGAAATGGTATTGAATATTTATATACAGTGAGGTAAAGTGGTTCACTAAAATAATTACCACACCGATAAATGTTCAATAGCGATAAGTTTCTGTAACTAGTAATTGTGGTCTTTGAAATCTCTTAAGTTTTGGTTTGGTCTCTTCAGCTATACTCGAGATTACTTATTTATTGGTATCAAATTGTATCTACCGATTTGCAGATACGTGCCAAAGCGTATACATTGGAAGAACAGAGAGGAGGGACATTGTTCACATTTCTGTAGCCATAAGAATTCATCTGCAACTAAAGAGCTCACATACACTATACTGTATGGTAAGGTGCCATCTACTGGACTTTCCTCATATTTTCATCAGTCTAAAGGCGTTCAGTATAATCAACAAGCAGAAGAAACACAACCTGATAACTTTCAGCGGATTGATTACCAAATTTGTGTGTGCGTAGAAAGACGTTTGAATAGTACTTCTGTGGTTAAGTAGCTTATTTCACTAACATACTGTTTATAATTGAGCTTTGCTTCTACCCGAAGTTCTGAAACTTCTTTTCTTCTCAGGGATATTCATCTAGATATCCTATAAATACTGAACCCTTTCAATAGACAGGTGAACTGAGTCGCTTTAATGATATGATCGATCCAGTCAGAGAAAATAATGTAATTGTGCAAGAAATTTGCATGACTTTGAGGTAAGTTACATAGACCAAATTATTAGATCACAGTCAAGTGGATTATTGGATTACTGGAATTTACATAGATCTAGAATGATCGACCCTGGTAAGTTAAATAATGTCGAAGAAAAGCTGGGCCATTGCATTCCATTCACTTGTACGTAATCGCACCATGAAATGGAACAGGGTACAAATATTAAAAAAGTAAAATAATTAGGTGGGGAGAAGTTAATTACAGAATTTTCAAGTGTTAGTTTGTCGAAATGTGATTGATTTAAAGTTTACTCTTGGATGGATATCGATTAGAGAACCTTTGAACAGTAAGGGGTACTGGAAACCAGTTTCCTCGTGGTTTAGGATTCTTCAAAAGTATTCACATTCAGATCACCAGTAAGTTCGTTAACCATCCATCCACTTCTATTAATTTTGCAATTTTTAACGCTACTGTAAGCTAATTCCATCGCCGAGTACTTTATATATTACCTTCTAATTACTATCTTGGGTTTCATGATTACTCATTATCAGATCAATAATGCGAGATGAATAATTTTGCCCTTAAAAGTTAGCACTGATAATGCTGTCTAATAAGATAATCAATCAGAGCTTCAGAACACAGCAACACAAAGACATCTAATGGTAGGCATATGAAAATAATGAATCCACTTGGTAATCCATAAGAAACACAATGTACATGTTGAAATGCAATCATGGATTTAGATCACAATAACTGACCTGCTAGACACTGCGAATCGGGTCAAGAAAAAAAGAGTCCAGTGGAACACATGATGCATACTGTTCACTGATATCATTACTTTGAAAACAGCAACATCAATCAACACCAGGTACCAGCTAGAGAAAAATGATCTGAACATCAAGTAATCACATCACTGATTCATTTCGAGAGAAATGTTGATTTAATTAACTCTAAAGGACTTTCCAGCTGCCATGTAATGCTTTCATCGTCCCAGTCTACCTATCTGGTATTCTTCTGTTAATGTAGAGGACTTTACACTAACAAGATCAATCAATAGTATATGCCGCCAAGCTTGTATTTGTTTATCAAACAACTAGTTGTTTGAGACAATCGAAAGTGGACAAATACCCACCTCATGTTACCTCCAACTGTGTCTACCAATTAACATGTACGTGCCAAAGCACATACATTGGAAGAACTACTCTGGAAGCGTGCGGCAAATGACGAAGAATGTACTCATAAGCATTCTTTGAGTTTTCAGATAGCTGAGCTAATATATCTCCAGGCTAATAATTTAAAGGACACTTATTCAAGTCAGGAACCCATCAAGTTTTGCATTACATCTTTGATGTACTGGCCAATTACTGCTGTTATTATTAAAAGCATTAGGGATACATTCTAGCCAAGAACAAAGAGTAAAAAGTGAAAGCAAAGAAAGGCAGAAAATCTCACCTACACCATCTTCTGTAGACAACAGGAAGGCTGTATCACACATCACTTTATATCCTTCGGAACAGGTGATTGTTGCTTCAGACTGAAACTTTTGATCATACTTATAATGGATTCGCCCATTTGTTGGTTCGTGTATATAACCGCATGAAATACCTTTAAAATCACGTTAGATAAAATGAAACAAAATAACAGTAATAATAATTTTTTAAATATTACAAAACTTATTAGTTATATAATCATATCCATAGAGACGAATTACAGCTCATTTGGATTGTGTGTTCTCTGAGACGGAAAGTTTAATAGTGAACCGTTCACTGTCTACCTAGACAACATTTTCAGAGTTAATTTGCCAGCCTATTATTATTCCCTTGAGTTCCAAGTGGAACATAAGCCTTCAAAAACACATCTCCACTTCGTTTTATTTTCTGCCATCCTCTTCAACTGGTTGGTCCCGCGATCGTCCATAATCTCTCATCTCCTCTTCCTAGCTACACGTTCTCCTCCATATCACCCTCGCACAAACGACCACTCGGTGCTTCCCAGTGCGATTCCACCTGAACAATGGTCTAGCTAACGCACGATTTCGTTAGACATCCTCCTCAAAGTATTCCGATCTATCTCCATTTTCTCTCACACATTTGTCAAGTGATCGTCTTTCGGTTGGTTTGTTCTCAACCAGAGTTTCTTGTTACTAACTCTCACCAGCCGGCCATTTGACCTTCAGTATGGCGCTAGAGAAGATGGGGAGCTGTTGGAAGTTGTTGGAAATGCTTTCCGTGACTCACGTGCAGTGAAAGTTTCTGACCCGTATAGAAGGACTGACTAACTGGCTTAACATTCCCTTTGAAAATCCGAATCTAACTAGCTAGTTTTTTAGCCGGTCCCAAGCATGCATAAAGAGGGAGGGTTGGGCCTGAGCCTATGGACCCTACACCTCAAAAGCTATCAAACTGCTAGAGAAACTTCAACGCACAAAAATATAATTGAAATATAAACACTTCCAAATTAGCAACCTGCCTAAATCTAATTCTCTATACATCAAAATACGTCATGTTTAACCTGCTTTATTTTCTTCTCTCTAATAATCCATATATATTTTTGGATGGTAAGCTTTAATCAGCCCAATTTTTAAGTTGGTTTTAACCAATTTCTATGGGATTTTGGGGAAAATAAAAATATTTCTTTATTTTTTGATTAAAGCTTGATTCCACACTGTATTTTGGTACAGGTATGGAATTTTCAGCATGGATATCGGTAGCCCAAATTTTGCAGGCCGACCATAGATATCAGGTGTGCGTCAGTAGGGGATCGAACCTCGGACCACGTGCATGGTGGGCGACAGTTCTAACCAATGTGCCACAGTGTCTCTTCTTCTCATTAGACATTCATTAAACTGAAGTCAGTGTGGAAATCCACTGAAATCAGTACCAACAACAAAATTTGATTTTAAACCCCAGTGCTAAGTTGGTTTATTTACATAGGTTAAAAACTTGGCCAGTCACAGAAACCACTTCGAACAGGCGGTAGACCATTATCAGTAGCTTCCTTCGCCTGCTCCGTAACGCAGATGAGATGGCAGACCAAAAAGAATTAGCAACAAGGAGTTCTACGACCGTACCAGTCAAGAGCCCATAGCTGAAAAAATAATCAGAACAAATTGAAGATGTATTCAACAGATACTGAGGAAATCGTAGAGTAACATTACCCACCAGACTGTCGATTGAAACTCGAATGGAAAACGATGACTTGCATGCACTTAGGTCCTAGTGTGACATAAAGCAGATTGTGAGAGGAGGAGATGATAGCCTGTGTACAATCGAGGGGACAGCTTAAAAAAGAATGCAAATGTCCTGCTGAAGCCGTGTTTCCCACTAAAAACCCAAGGGAATGATGGTGATAATAATAACAGACGTTCGAATTCTGCTGCCACACAATTTTTTATTCCTTTCTCATATTAGTTGACTTATTCATGACCTTCTCACATAATCCTTCCATGAACAACACATAAATATTTAGATTCAACATACTTTTGGACTTTTATACGAAGGATACTAGAAAATAAAACATAATATTTTCAGTGTAACATCGAATTAATCTTAGATTATATTTTTACAGGCACACGCAAGCGAACTCACATAAATTCAAACGTACCGCATTAAAAAAAGTGAATGAGGCAGAGACAGAGGGAGAGAGAGAGACAGTAAATTTCTTAAGATTTTTAATCTTACCAAAACTACAAGAAAAAAACAAGAAAGTTTAGTTGACAATTTTTCACTGCATTTTGAAAAAAAACAAAACAAACACAAAACATAACAACCATATGTATATCATACACATTGAACGTTGAGCATTGAAACATTGAATAATGGTGGTTGTTTTAATGGAAGGGGGGGACACGAAGGCCTAACATCATCTCTGGGGAAATATGAATTCATTTTGTTTCGTGAATTAAACTCATCATCATCATCTAACTGATTTACAATCCAAAAAAAAGACAAGAAGATATATGTAATATGTAAATGCCGTATGAATGGGAGAGAGAGAGAAAAAGGCAAAGAGAATAACGAAAGATTCAACTTGATTCCTTCCTATTTTCGAATTTTCTTTTTTAGCATTTGAACAAGCTTTTGTATTGATTAGAATGTTAGATATAAGATGGATGCATTTCTATTTCAGTAAAAATAGACACAACTTAATACTGCAACAAGTGAACAAGTGAATGCTTGAGAGTTCACTCTGAGAGGTGATCACTTTATGTTTACAGAATAAATGAGTGAGTGAATGAGTGGATGAAAGAATATGTTAAGTGAGACACGAAAAACGGAATGAAACTTCAACCAAGACACGGAGAGAGAGACAGGAAAACGGAAATATGGGACAAAATGTTTATGGGAAATCAGATTTCTATTAAATTGTTTAAAAAACGTTAATAAAATGTTATGTTAGATTACATTTTTTCATATTTCAAAAGTTAAGCGTAAAATAGTGAACACCATGCGAATATCAGAGATAATGTGGCATGTGCTACTGATTCGACTTATAAGCATTATATTAACATTGATAAAATATGTATTTAGATAAAGCAATAAGAAAACGTAATTTGTCTGAATCGTTTAGTGTATTTGCACAACACATTTCGAACAATCTGATCACACACGGACTTGTCATAGAAATATATATGAAATTAATAAATTAATAATAAATCGAATGAATGAAGTTCAGAATAGCATATCACTTAAATCTGTAGAAGAGGAAGATAATTGTTTGTCTTTCCTAGACATATTGCTTAGTCGACGGCTTGATGGGTCAATAAAAAGATCTATTTATAGAAAATCTACCTGCACAGGACAGTACCTTAATTACCACAGTTTTTGCCCTGTTTGGTACAAACGAGCCTTAGTGAGCGAGGCGCCTCTTCAGTAGAATCCGGCGAATATGCACTGAAGACACGCTTGATGAAGAAGAAAGAATATTGACACAAACTCTGGTTGATAACAATTATCCAGACAAGTTCATCAGGAGATATAAAGTAGTCACTGGAACACCAAGACCCACTCTCCCATTCGCCCCTAAGAAAGACGTGTATATCAAGCTACCCTATATGGTGCATCAAAGCAGCTTGATAACTAGACAAAGATTGAACGCTGCTGTTAAAAGACTTTTTATGCAGCTAATATCATAATATTAGAGAATGTAAAATGACGTCACATCCCACTGTATTTACCGATTTGAATGTACGTGTGGACACACATACATAGAGAGGACTCATCGATCTCTGCAAGTAAGAGCTGGCTTCGTAGCATATTCCTAAATGGCTCCAGAGACAAATGGAATAATCAGAACCTATTAACGGTGAGAACAGGAGACCTAGCTCCTCTAGTGCGAAAAATATTATAGAGACAGGAAATAAAATTGATGTTAACAGATCTTTTAAACCTATCTATAAAATGTGTTTTGGGCGTATCCAAAAGTTTGCAGAAGCCCTAGCAATTAGAAAGTTGAAGCCACCTTTATGCGTTCAAAAACAATTCGTCATCACATTAAACCTTCCTTGGTAAATTTTGCTTTGATACCATAGCAGATGTACTATTACCTCTGCTATTTGGTTATTCATAGTTATTTTGACCTTGAATATATCCTTATAACTTGACCTAAGTAGTCTATTTTCTCACCTCTTACCTCTTTATTAATTTCATATACATTCCCATGACAAGTCCGTGTGTGATCAGGTTGTTCGAAATGTGTTGAGCAAATACACTAAACGATTCAGACAAATTACGTTTTCTTATTGCTTTATCTAAATTCATAAAGGGAACTAATTGTTTTAAAAATATGTATATCGGTTGCAGGAATATCAAATGTCCGAGAGATGGATGCAGTTCCAATTATAGGGAAACTTAATTTAATAAAGTCTCACAGGGTTATATCTTTATGAATATGTGGGAAAATATAGCTCTTAATGCATTTTATCCTACTCCGAAGATATGGTGGAGATATGGGGATGCCACGTTCACAGGGAACATACCTCCAGTTTCTTCACACATATAAGCTCAATAGTAAAGGGAATAAAATTCAAATTTGAGTCAGAAAATGAATGAGGAGAACTGGCTTTGATGGATTTTGAAATAAAATGAATAGAGGAAGACAGAGTGAACAGTAGCGTTTATAAAAATCCAACACATTCTAATAGATATTTAGACTGTAATTCATCTCATCCGTCATTATCTATCTGTGAAGGTTGGCTTAGTTAAGTGTCTGACAAACCGAGCAATAGCACTAGGCAGTACATCAAGAAACCTAAATGATGAAATGAAATACATGGAAAAGACCTTGGCATTCAATAACCACCCTATAAAATTCATTAGGAAGATCAGAAAAGGGTCCAAAGTAAAGTAAAAAATAATTGTGAAACTAATAATGATAACGTGAATAAGGGAGAATATAAGATGTCTACAATTTTACCGTATAGGGAGGGAACATCTGAAACCCTACGTAGGATTATTGATAAATCAGGAATTAGGGTGACATTTAATCCTACAAACCCACTCAGGGGCAAGCTCTACAGGTTCAAGGACCCCGTAGACCCAGAACCGGTAGATAGAGGGTAGTCAGACTTTCAGAACATAAGAATTTAGCTAAGGTTAGAATGACTG